CACGCGCGCTCACCTGCGCTGGCGGCGCGCGGGGGTCGCTGCTTGGCTCTCGGTCACGTGCCGGGGATTGTCATGGTGACGCCCGGGCGTGTCCGGAAGCGGCTCTCCCTACGGCTTCCGGCGCGCGCGCGACACTTCCGCCGTGCGCGCGGAAGATGATGCGTGCGGCGCGCGGCGGCGTCCGGCTCGCGCTGGGCCCGACCCCGGCCCCTGGCTGCTTCCCCCTGCAGCGGGGCCTCCAGCGGCGGCTCCTGCAGCAGACCCCGCCGCCCGCCGCCCCGCCAGCCGTGGGGCGGTGGCTCCTGGCCTGCAGCGGCGCCGTGGCCGGTGCCGTGGTGCTGGGTGGCGTCACCAGGTGAGCGCGGCGCTCCCCGCCCCGCCCGCTCCGGGTTATGCGCCGGGGCTGGATCCGCGCTTAAGCCCTTGAAAGGGGCGTGGAGCTGAGGGCGTGTAGAGGTGGCGATCCCCAGCATCGGCGACCCGCTTAAGCGGTCACAGCTGCCCGCAGCTGCCTTCCGCGCATGGGATTCCCCCACCACCACCAAAGCACACCTGTGGTAGCCTCTGTAGGGTGTTTCCTCCCTGGTTGCACGGGGACACTAGGGGATAAGGGTCATATTGTATCGCAGAATGGTTTGGGTTGGAAGGGCCTTGAAAATGGTTCAGTTCCAACCCCTGGCTATGGGCAGGGGCACCTTCCACCAGACCAGGCGCTCAGAGCTCATCCAACCTGGCCTTTGACACGGACAGAGATGGGGCAGCCACAGCTTCTCTGGGCACCCTCTGCCAGCACCTCAGCACCCACACAGGAAAGAATTTCTTCCTAATGTCTAATCTAAATCTACTCTCTTCCACTTTAAAGCCATTCCCCCTTTTCCTGTCACTACATGCCCTTGTTAAAAATCCCTCTCCAGATTTCTTGTAGGCCCCCATTAGGCACTGGAAGCTGCTTGCTGCTCTAAGGTCTCCCTGAAGCCTGTTCCTCAGGGTGAACAACCCCAACACCCAGCTTTTCTTTACAGGAGAGGTGCTTCAGACCCCAGAGCATCTCTCTGACCTTCCTCTGGACTCACTCCAATGTAACGTCTGCATCCTTACGTACTAGAAAGACTGCCCATAGTGTGCTGGTGCCAGCTAGGGATAACATCCTCTTACACAGTTTTGGTAATTTTAGGTCTGTCTGGTCACTCAGGCTCCCTGATCTCCATCCTAACTCTGAATTTAAAGGTTGTCTGGTGCACATAACAGTTTTCACTTCAGTTCAGTACATTTGCATACTGAAAGAGAGTGAATTGTGCTTGCTTGCATCTCTCCCAGGCTGACAGAATCTGGCCTCTCTATGGTTGACTGGCATCTGGTGAAAGAAATGAAACCCCCAAGAACACAGCAAGAGTGGGAAGCCGAATTCCAGAAGTATCAGCAGTTCCCAGAGTTTAAAATGTGAGTGTACAAAAGCAGAAGGAGGGTGGGCTGGGAGCATCCCCCCTGTGACTGAGCCACTCGAGGGCCTCTTGTGGGAGGGGAAATGCTTTCTAACATCACTAGGAAGGTGCACAAAGCCTGTCTGATGGTAGCTCCTTCACTGTCACTTCCTTTCTGTGAGGAAGGTGACACCATGTTGCACTACGTACAGCATAGGACTGCTACGTCCCATGAAACAGTTATTTTTTACTGTCTTTAACAGCCTGAATCATGACATGACACTGACAGAGTTCAAGTTCATCTGGTACATGGAGTATTCGCACCGCATGTGGGGCCGCGTTGTGGGCTTGGCCTACATCCTGCCTGCCGCCTACTTCTGGCGAAAGGGCTGGCTGAGCCGCCCCATGAAGGGCTGTGTTCTTGCGCTCTGTGGGCTGGTCTGCTTCCAGGTGAGTGAGCTCCGTAGCAGCAGCATCTCCTGTGAATACCTTCTGATTGAGCATAGTTGAAACAGAGGGATTCGTGAAAGCTTGGAGGATGTCAGTGCTGCAAGCTGGTTGAAGGTGGAGGAAACAAGTTGCTTTATCCCTAATGTTTACCTGTTCTTAGTGGTTGCTGCTGCCCTGGCTGGCTGTAACCCTTCTCCTGTGTTTTCAGGGGCTGCTGGGGTGGTACATGGTGAAGAGTGGGCTGGAAGAGAAGCCAGGCTCATACGACATTCCTCGTGTCAGTCAGTACCGTCTGGCAGCCCACCTTGGCTCCGCACTGATTCTGTACTCTGCTAGCCTGTGGACAGGTCTGTCCTTGTTGCTCCCACGACACAAGGTACAGAATGGTGTGTCAGGATAGTGTCAATTCAGAGGGTTGGGGGCTAACGGGAAGGGTGAGGGAAGGGTGTGAGAGGTGGTGGTGCTTCCTTTTCAGTCTCTGTTCCTGACTCTGATACAGTACTGCATGACAAAACACCCTTTCTGTAAACTTCTTGGTTATGGGAGACTTCCTTTGTCTCATGCTCTTCCGTTCTAAAGTGGTTAGTCTTGGAGTTTGTGCAGGCTCAGGCAGGGCTGTGCCTGGCTGAGCACTTGTGCCAGTAACTGTCCAGTGGCCAATTCAGTTTCTGCACAGGGTTGGACTCAATTAGTTGTGGTTTAGAGGAACACCTGAAGTGTGGCTGTGCTGTGTGGTGGTCTCTATATCCCTCCTGTAAAATCCAGGCTAATCCCTTGTCTTGTATATGCATTAAGGCTTTTCCTACCTGCAGCAAACAGTGCTGGAAATGCTTTGCATTGATTTATTTATTTTACAGTTACCTGAAACCCATCAGCTCATTCGCTTGAGACAATATGCTCATGGCACTACGGCTCTCATTTTCTTTACAGCTCTTTCAGGTAAGACTTTCATTGTCCCATCTGTGGTTCATTCCTTTATGCCCTCTTTTGTATTTTTTGTCTTCCTCTGGTTTATCCGGGACTGTGAGCAACCCCATCATGTTCTCTGGGAAAACTTCATTGCTGTCAGGGAACCTACAGTCAAGAACCTCCCTTGCTGGTCCTTCCTGAGGAGGTGGAGAGGCACCTTCCAGCCTGCCTATTGCTGTGTGATCTCTGTATATGTTTCTAAAAGAAAATCAGGATCAAGCAGAGCTCTTGAATCAGAGCTGCGCAACCTGCAGTGCAACTTCGCCTACTCTGGAATTCTCATTTCATGCTCTGGAATTGCAGGAGCCTTTGTGGCAGGGCTGGATGCTGGCCTTGTGTACAATTCATTCCCCAAAATGGGGGAGCGTTGGATCCCAGATGATCTCCTTGCCTTCTCCCCCATACTGAAGAATATCTTTGAGAATCCTACAACTGTACAGTTTGATCACAGGATCTTGGTAAGTGTCGTCTTCCTGCTATGTCTGTGCTGCTTCTCAGTTGCCTCCTGCAGCAAATTTGTCCTCTTTGGGCTGTGATTCTGTCAGCTTGAGTGATATCCAGGGCACCCAAAGGTCCTGAGAGCGTGTTACCAATTTGCTTATGCAGACAGAGGAAGTTTAGCACTCATTTATTTTCAGCATGGTCTTCTTCCTTGAGGACGTCTTCTTCCTGCACAATTTATAGTCTTTGTGTCTCCTTTTCCATGACACCAACTTCTGACCAGAGTAGCCCTCACTACTGAGGTGTCTAGGGAAGTTGTGTGAAACAAAACTTGGAAATCCTGTTGCTGAATGCTTCCTCCAGCACTTCTGGACATGCTTTATACCATTAGCACCCTTTGAAAGTATCTCAGCTAGTTAGAGCAATCCAGATACTAAACACTAGTGCCAGCACTGCTGTGGGCTAGGCCATCACTAAGGTTGAAAAGATTAGGTGACACAGAAGAGGTGACCTAAACAGCAAGAGAGCACTGGTAAGCTTTCACCATTAGCTGTCAAGGTGGCAGATGGGGAGAGGGCAGAAATAATCCCTAAGGAAGACATGAGGCAATGAGGAAAAGCTGTTGGAAAGTAAAGCATTAATTTGGAGAAAAACTGAACTCTATAAATTTAGTTGAATTTCAGGGTCATTAACCTGGTGGCCATGGGATTCCAGGATTTGGTCATGGACGCTGATATGTTTCTACAGTTAAATACTACTCACAGAATTTCTTCTATTGCGTGGAAGGTGCAGCCAGAGGCCACTGCATCCATTTCCTTTGAACTCTGCCTGAAAGGTGATTGTTTCTCTCCCCATCCATAGGGAATCACTTCTGTCACAGCTGTCGCAGCACTGTACCTCTTCTCACGGAAGATCCCGCTCCCTCGCAGGGCCAGGATGGCAGTGACTTCCTTATTGGCTGTGGCTTGCTTGCAGGTACTCACAAAATAGTTATCCCCTGCTTGGGTGTGTGTGGGCCCCAGGAGCAGGAGCGAAGAGGTGGAGCAGCCTGGACCTGGGTCCTCACTGCATGCACCGTCTGAATTGGAGGGTGGCAAATCTGGCTGTAGCCATGAGCCTTTCTATATCGCACTTTGTGCTGGGGATGTGTCAGTGGTGCATTCACAGATGCTCTTACCCCTTCTCCCTTCTTGGCAGGTGGGCCTGGGCATCAGCACCCTGCTCCTGTATGTCCCCACGCCTCTGGCGGCCACACACCAGTCGGGCTCCCTGGCACTGCTGAGCATGGCGCTCTGGTTCATGAGCGAGCTCCGGAGGGTCCCCAAGTAACCTGCCGGCGGAAGAGCCCCCCGGAGCAGCTGTGCCCAGAGGCGGCAGACACCCTGCACCCCGGGCGCGCGGGGATGCGCTCAGGGAGGAGGTGGCGGGTGCGAGTGCGAGCTTTGTAACATAAAGGCGTTTTTACGGAGCGGCTGCTGTCTGGCTGGTGCCTCCTTTCCGAAGCGAGGTGAGGCGGGATGCGCAGGGCTCCGAGGCAGCGGAGATGAGGCGGAATATGGGGCGGGAAGGGGACGCCGAGCCTAGCCGCCGCGCCGGGGAGGGGCGGGCTCCCTTTGGCGCCCCCTGGCTTTGGTCCGGCGTGCGCCTGGCTCCGCGTATCCGCCAATGGGAGGCGGCGGTGGCGCCAGCGCGCCCCGCTCCGCCCGCGGATTGGCCGCCGCGTGCGGCTGGGGGCAGAGCGGCATCCGGTGCGGCGGCGGTCGGTCGGTCGGTGGGCGCGGAGCGGCCATGACGGCGCACAGCTTTGCGCTGCCGCTTGTTCTCTTCTCCGCCTTCTGGGGCCTCGTGGGCATCGCCGCCCCCTGGTTCGTGCCCAAGGGGCCGAACCGCGGGTGAGTGAGGAGGGATACCGGGGGTGGGGGTTGCGGGACCGGGCCTCCTGCTCCTAACGCCGGTGTCTCCGCAGGGTGATCATCACGATGCTGGTCACCACCGCCGTGTGCTGCTACCTATTGTAAGTACTGCGGACAGGGCGCCGATCTGCCCCTGTTTCACCGGCCCAGTGGTTGCTGCTTAGCCTCCTGCTCGTGGATGAGTGGGGACAGCCCTTGGCCTGCGGCCTGCCTCTCTCCCGGGGCAGCAGCCTCTCTGCCGGCCCCTTGAGGCAGCACCCTGCCGGGATCCTGGGATGTGCTGCCGGGGCTGACAGCAGGTTGGGTCCCTTTGCAGCTGGCTCATCGCGATCCTGGCCCAGGCCAACCCCCTGTTCGGGCCGCAGCTGAAGAACGAGACCATCTGGTACGTGCGCTTCCTCTGGGAGTGAGCAGTCCCCAGGAGCCGGTGCCTGAACAGAGACCCCCCTACCCGAATCATCACTGTGAGTGCACAGAGGGCCGGGGTGGCTGAGGTGTCCCCACTTGCCTGCTAGTGTCTGGCTGGGGAGTTCAGCCTGGCCCTTGATGGGTGGGAGATATTCTGGCTTGTGTGCATTGTGGCAGTGGTGAGTTGGTGTCCATGTAGTGTTGCTGAGCAAACTGATCACTTCCCCCGAGCTTGTGGTGCCCTAGATTTGTGGGAGCTCCCTCATGGATGCAGTTTGGTGCTAACTTCTCTTTTCTCCCTCCCCCAGCTCTTGCTGCTGTTTCAGCCTCCTGTACCAGGCACCCCCCTCCAGAGGTCCTGGGACAGAAGCTGGACAGAAGCTGGACCCAGTGCCCCAGCGCGCCCTGAGCACTGCAACCTGGACCAGGCCCTGAGCACAGGAGGCAGCACTCTGGGATGAGGGTCTAGTCAGCCCAGCCCTGGGAGCAGCCACACTGCCAGGGAGAGATCCCCTCAGCTGGCCCAGTGCTGCAGTCACTAAGACTGAGCACTGTCCTGAGAGGGATCTGTGTGTAGTGCCAGCAGATCCTGTCCCTGCGGTATTCGCCCTGCTCCCTCCCGTGCACTCAGCCCTAGCCCCCCAGTGGAAACCCCTGCTCTTAGCCCAAACTACCCAACTAGTTGCCATATCCCTGCTCATTTCAGGCACCGGCTGCCCCTCTGCATGAGCAGGGAAGAGCCCATTGCATCCTCTGTTGCCTGGTCAGTCCCTTGTGGTGGGGGGTGGTCCTTGCTTCAATTCTGGGTGGGAGAAGGGAAGGCTGATCCTGGAAGAGCATGTCAGTCCCCTTGGGTGTGATGAGGGAGGTGCTGGGTGCAAGGCGGGGGGTTCCCTTGCTTGGCAGCCTGCTGCAGGGGATTAAAGGGGTGCTGTGTCCCCTCCCATCTCAGCAGTGAGGGAGCTGCAGTAGCATCTAGGTGTCATCACCACCCCAACCTGTGTCCAGGCTCTGAGAAGAACCAAGTAGGGCAGTGTGCTTTAGGTTACTCTTTATTTATGAGGTAATTTATCTGTATTTATTTGTCTGTATTTGTTAAATTTGTGTTGTGGAAATAAATCTTTTTCCTAGTAAGTGATGCTGGAGGCAGTCACTTGCTGTGTTGAGACTGAGGAACAGTCTTGGCTTTATTCAGACTTCCTCCCTAACCATGCTCTTGCGCCATGAGAACAAGGATCGTTGGCTGTTGGGCTGGAGGTTGGAAGCACACCAGTGCATGGAAAGTTTTCTCCTTCATGCCACCTGTGCAGTGGTCCTGTGGGACCAGGGTCACACACAGGCAACAGCATGTGCTAGAAGGAGAACTGGGTACCTGCCCAGGCTCACCTGTGGTATGTGCCTGTGCTGGGGCCATCCCCACAGCTGTGCAGCAGCTGGAGAGCTTAGTGGCCTGCTTCCCAGCTGGGGTAGGGAATAAGGTAAAAAGCCTCTTCCAGCAGCTGCAAGTGTCCAGGCTTTTCCATTTAGGGGAAGGCAGCAGAGGATGCTGTCTCCAAGGATCACAACAGTTAAGGTTTCTCCAGCCAATGAGCCGGCTTCAGTTGGAGCTCGGCTCAGATGCCTCTATACAAATGCCTGTAGCATGGGGAACAAACAAGAGGAATTAGAGATGTGTGCACGTCTACAGGGGTATGATATAATAGGCATCACAGAAACATGGTGGGATGGCTCCTATGACTGGAGCGTTGGAATGGAAGGTTACAGGCTCTTTAGAAAAGACAGGCCTGGCAGGCAGGGAGGGGGAGTTGCCCTTTATGTTAGGGATAGGCTGGAGAGTATGGAACTCTGTCTGGGGACAGGTGAGCAGTTAACAGAGAGTTTGTGGGTCAGGGTTAAAGGGAATATAGCTATGGGAGACATTACTGTGGGGATCTGTTACAGACCGCCTGATCAAGGAGAACCTGCGGATGAAGCCCTCCATAGACAGATAGGAAAAGCCTCACGCTCGCAGGCCCTTGTTCTCATGGGTGACTTCAACCACCCTGACATCTGTTGGAAGGACGGTACGGCCCGGCACAAACAATCCAGGAGGTTCCTCGATTGTGTACAAGACAACTTCCTTCTGCAAGTAATAGAGGAGCCGACAAGGAGAGGTGCCATGCTTGACCTCGTGCTCACCAACAGGGAAGGGCTCGTTGGAAGTGTGACTCTCCAGGGCAGCCTTGGATGCAGCGATCACAAGATGCTCGAATTTGAGATCCTCAGGACAGTGAGAAGAGCGTGCAGCAAGCTACCTGCCCTGGACTTCAAGAGAGCGGACTTTGGCCTCTTCAGGAACCTGCTTAGGAAGGTTCCATGGGATACAGCCCTAGAGGGCAGAGGGGCCCAAGACTGTTGGTTGATATTGAAGGATCACCTGCTACAAACTCAGGAGTGTTGCATCCCAACCAGAAGGAAGTGCAGCAGGAGGGCCTTGGATGGATAAGGAGCTCCTGAGGAAAATTCAAATGAAAAAAAGAGGCTTATAGTAAGTGGAAGCAAGGACAGGTGGCCTGGGAAGAGTACAGGGATGTTGTCCGGGAAGCTAGGGACCAGGTTAGGAAAGCTAAGGCCCAGTTAGAATTAAACTTAGCTAGAGGCATTAAAGATAACAGGAAGGGATTCTACAAGTACATAGCAAATAAAAAACAGACTAGGGAGAATGTAGGCCCCCTCAGGAAGCTCTCGGGAGAACTGGCTACACAGGATTTGGAGAACGCTGAGGTTCTGAATGACTTCTTTGCCTCGGTCTTCACTGGCAAAGGCTCTGACCAAACCACCCAAGTCTTGGAAGGCGGACGCAGGGACTGTGAGAATGAAGACCTTGGGCCCACTGTAGGAGAGGATCTGGTTCGAGACCATCTTAAAAATCTGAACGTGCACAAGTCAATGGGTCCTGATGAAATCCATCCGTGGGTCCTGAAGGAGCTGGAGAATGAAGTTGCTAAGCCACTGTATATCATAGTTGAGAAATCACGGCAGTCAGGTGAAGTTCCCGATGACTGGAAAAAAGGAAATATAACCCCCATTTTCAAGAAGGGGAAAATGGATGACCCAGGGAATTACAGACCAGTCAGTCTCACCTCTGTGCCTGGCAAAATCTTGGAGCAGATTCTCCTGGAAGGCATGCTAAGGCACATGAAAAACAACAAGGTGCTTGGTGACAGCCAGCATGGCTTCACTAAGGGGAAATCCTGCCTGACCAATTTGGCGGCCTTCTATGATGGGGCTGTGGAACTGATGGACAAGGGTAGAGCAGTTGATGTCATCTACCTGGACTTGTGTAAAGCGTTCGACACTGTCCCACACAACATCCTTGTCTCTAAATTGGAGAGACATCAATTTGATGGATGGACCACTCGGTGGATAAAGAACTGGCTGGATGGCTGCACACAAAGAGTTGAGGTCAATGGCTCAATGTCCGGCTGGAGACCAATAACGAGTGGCATCCCTCAGGGATCGGTGTTGGCACTGGTCTTGTTTAACATCTTCGTTGCTGACATGGACAGTGGGATTGAGTGCGCCCTCATCAAGTTTCCCAATGACACCAAGCTGTGTGGTTCGGTTGATTCACTGGAGGGAAGGAATGCCATCCAGAGGGACCTTGACACACTTGTGAGGTGGGCTGATGCCAACCTCATGAAGTTTAACCATGCCCAGTGCAAGGTCCTACACCTGGGTCAGAGCAATCCCAGGCACAGCTGCAGGTTGAGCAGAGAAGAGATTCAGAGCAGCCCTGCAGGGAAGGACTTGGGGGTGTTGGTCAATGAGAAAATGAACATGAGCCGGCTTCAGTGTGCACTTGCAGCCCAGAAAGCCAACCGTATCCTGGGCTGCATCAAAAGGAGCGTGACCAGCAGGTCGAAGGAAGTGATCCTGCTCCTCTACTCTGCTCTCGTGAGACCTCACTTGGAGTATTGTGTGCAGTTCTGGTGTCCTCCACATAAAAAGGACATGGAACTGTTGGAACAAGTCCAGAGGAGGGCCATGAGGATGATCAGGGGACTGGAGCACCTCCCGTATGAAGACAGGCTGAAGAAGTTGGGGCTGTTCAGCCTGGAGAAGAGAAGGCTGCATGGAGACCACAGAGCAGCCTTCCAGTACCTGAAGGGGGCCTATAGGGATGCTGGAGAGGGACTCTTCATTAGAGACTGTAGTGACAGGACAAGGGGTAACGGGTTAAAACTTAAAACAGGGGAAGTTTAGATTGGATATAAGGAGGAAATTCTTTCCTGTTAGGGTGGCGAGGCACTGGAATGGGTTGCCCAGGGAGGTTGTGAATACTCCATCTCTGGCAGTGTTCAAGAGCAGGTTGGACAAGGCCTTGGGTGATATGATTTAGTGTAAGGTGTCCCTGCCCACAGCAGGGGGGTTGGAACTAGATGATCTTAAGGTTCTTTCCAACCCTAACTATTCTATGATTCTAAGGTTGGATCAGTGCTTCCTTTGCTTGGGAGCTTTTGGAGCCGAGCTAGCTGAACTGCTGGAATTAGAGAACGCAGGCAAGAAAGCAGCTGTATAATTACATCATGAAACAGTGCTATGCAGGCATGTTGGTCCCATCATGGCATCAGCTAGGAGCTGTTGCTGCTAAAAGACAAGACCCATCTCAATGGCTCAAGGGGTTTGTTTATTGCTACAGGAGTGGCAGCAGCTGAGTTCAAGTAAAAAGTGACAAAAACTTCATTGGTTCACTGCTGGGCTCCAGCCCCAGGAGAGGAAGGCTTGTGCCTGTGCACAGCTAGGCTGGAGTGAGGTGGTTCCCCCAGGGGCAGGGCCAGCCTGCACGAATGCGGAACCCCGGGTCCTGGTTTGTGCCTGATTAACGTGGGGGACGCCACGGGGCAGATGCGCCCAGGAGGGAATGTACAGAAAAGCAGCTACTCTGGTGGTGCTTTAGGGACCAGTCCCCAAGTCCTCAGGAGCCTGGGACCAGGGGCAATTGTCCTACGAGAGGGAAACATGGCAAAGAGCAGGACAGCTCTTAAGGAATGCTCTGAGAGGGGCCAGGCTGGGCAGAGCAGAACAGCCCAGTGGAACTCTTGGCTCACCTGCATCCTGTAGTAACTTTGCTGGCCACTGCTGTTCTCCAGCCCATGGACTTGTCAGGCACTGCAGAAGGGCCACCCCCATGATGAGCTACAGCACTGCACCAGGTTGCTCTGCAACCCCCTGGTTGAGTCACGGGGTGCCCCAGTGCTTCAGGCCACAGCCCTGGGTTGGCCACCTTGGTGATAGTGTCCTGTTTATCTGAGGGACCTGCCAGGGCCGCAGCCTTGAGCCCGCTGGCAGCAGAGGACTTTGCTCTACACCACGTAGCAAGGCAAAGGCCAGAGGCCAAGGAATGCAAAGATTACATCTGGGGCAAGGCAGAGAGCCAGGCTCCACTGTCCATAGCTGCCTCGGGAACCCATAGCCTCTGGTTCTGATACGGAGATGACAGAGTGCAGAGTTGAGATGATCTTTAAGAAGGAGTCCAAGCCCTCGGAGTCCAGGCTGTGAACCAGTCCTGGTTCTGCTGGTGCAACGGAGGGTACCACCGTTGTCATGGCCCATTCCCCTGGCCCAGTGGCACCACCACCTTGTCCAGCCAGAGCAGGTTGAGCTGAGCCAAGCGCAGCTGCCGGTGGTGGATGCGGCGCAGCCGCAGGAGGTAGAGGACTATGGCCAGCGCCACAACCAGGATGCAGGCAAAGAAGAGATAGTGGTTGTAGACAAAAGAAAGGCGCAGCCAGGAGGTGTGTGCTTGCCGGATGCTCTCCTGACGGAGATCCCTGTGGAGAAAAATGTCAGGACTGGCCTGGGATGCCATGGGGTACTACCAGGGTCTGTGCCACCACTCCCCCTTGCCAGGGGTGGCAGAGCCCTCGCCTGGTGTGGTAACTCCTGCCTCTCCCCAGCCACCCTTCCCTGAGCAATGCCATCAGCAAGCCAATGGTACCTGAGTGGCAGAAACCGTGTCTTGTAGAGGATAGCTCCCAGCGTCCACTGCACCTCCCGGTCATACACCAGCTGGGCTGTGCGCAAGCTTGGGTAATCCAGGGGGAAGCTGAAGCCCTGGTGAAGGACTTGATACATCCAGGCTGATTTGAAGCACTGATACCTGCAGGGGCAGCAGGGTCATCAGCCAGAC